AAAACGTAAGGCCTACTCATTTCAATGTGGGAAAATTCAAATACAACTCCTTCCTCACCTTGAAAGAAATAAGGTGAATACATCTGACATCCTAGAATCTGGTAAGCCTATTCATTCATATTCAACATACTGCCGACTTTTAATAAGAATCAATAATAAAAGTTGCTAATTTTATATCGTTGAGCTCACTTTCATTTCGAATGAAAGTATTTGGTTTTTACTTGAGTATTCACTCGAACTTTCAGTAAGCCCAACTGTAATGAAACAAGAGATTCATTGAAGTCCAAAATTTATTATCAGTGCATTTTATCTCAAATTAATAGCCCAATGATTTTACTCTAGGGGATACAACTATTCGTTCTTATGCCACGTATAACGACTTTATATGAGTTCCAGCTTTGATGATGTCCATCATATGATGGAAGAAAGCTGAGCCCATTTTCGCCCGAAACGAGGAAGGATGTCTCTTAGAATACGTCAACATGAACGTCGTATTAAAGCCAAACGACTCCAGTACAACAGGAATCAGCCATTCTCTTCTGCTGAGACAAACTTTCGAAGCCCTTCTTCATGCAATTTCATGCGAAATGAAAGTCTTCCGACCAGAGTCACTAAATGGCCAGATGTTAGGTATAAGAAATGAGTTTGATTATGGCGGGATAGCCTTAGATACAGACTTGATGTATTTTGTGCGTCTTTTCAAAAATGATGGTATCATGTTCTGACACTTTCTGTCACGATGGGACAGACGAATGCTTATCATGGGTTTATCGGTATCGCGGAAAATAAGCCGAGGTCGTTTTCGCACAATCCAATAGTCTTTAATCCACAATGGTCACTCTCACTTCAGTTTACGGCAAAAATAATTCACAAAGTCTTCCAACAAACATGTATTTTTAAACAAAACGTTGCGTTAAAATATTTCTTCACATTTTATATAAGAGCTATATCCTATTTTATTTAAGGTGATGAAGGACTGAAAATTCAATTTTTCCACAATCATATGAGTAACATTATTGGTTGGACTTTCATTTCCTTGGTCGATCTCACCAGAAGAGGACGGTTGAATCCCTCTGTACTGTAGCCACTTGGCTTTTATACGACTATGAGATTGACGCAGTCCACTAGACCTCCCTCTTTTTGGACGAAAGTTCAGCCAGTTTCCACCCGAAAAGAGGAAGGATATCTCGTGGACTGCGTCAATCTCATCGTCGTAGTAAAACCAAGCGGCTGCAGTAGAACGGGATTCAACCGTCCTCTTCTGGTGAGGTCGATCTTCGAATCTCTTCTTCATACACTTTCATACGAAATCAAAGTATAAGCAATAATGTTATCTCAAGAGATTCTTGGAAACCCTGTTACTCTTCATATGAATAGGCCTTATGTTTTTTCCGTAAGTGAGTAGGTTCTCGAGACTACCAGTAAATCAGATGTATGAGTTGTATTCACCCTATTTCGTTTAAGGTGATGAAGGACTGATAGTTGATTTTTCCCACAATAATATGAGTAAAGCTGAGGTCTCCATTTAATTTCACATAGCTTTGATTTCCAGGGTGGACTGAAGTTTCGGCGTTGCATGGATAATATCAATACCCCAAGCGGGAGTCTGATCATGACAGCGCAGCGTGTAAGCTCGACACCTTAACTACAACGCCACAGTGCCACGAGTGCCCTTGGGTCACAGGGCAGATGTGAATTTGAAGGAACGTCATGCATTTTCCATATCACATTCTGTGTTGGGATTGTCGATGAAACAAACTTATATTTGCTATAACAATAGATGGTATTCCTTTTTTCGTAATTGAGTAGGTCCTCCATCGAATTAAATGAAATAGGGTGAATAAAACACATATATCTGATTTACTGGTACTCTCGAAAGCCCACTTACTTACGAAAAAAGTAATTTCTTATATTGTTATAGCAAGTATAAGTTTGCTTCATCGACAATCTTAACACATAATGTTATATGGAAAATGCGTGACAATCCTCTAAATTCATATCTTCCCTGTGACCCAAGGGCACTCGTGACAATGTGACGTAGAGGTTAACGTGTTGAGTTTACACACTGCATTGTCATGGTTCGACTCCCGTCTGGAGTGTTGATAAGAACTCTGCGAGGTACAAACTGACATCCAACCTGAATAAAAACATCTTTTGGGAAAGCAAGAATTTGTGAAATTCAAGAGAAACTTGAGCTAGACTCACATCATTTTTGGAAGAATCAACTATCAGTCCTTCATCACCTTAAAAGAAATAAAGTATATAAAGCTTTATGTTGTCACTGAAATTTACATGGCATTGCTTCCTAAAAGCAATCTCATCCATACAGGAATGGAGTGGAATTTCAACCTCGCATAGGCCTCATCCGAATCCCCAGCGGGGACTCGATCTCTGGTATTTCTGTATGTTATCTACACCGCAATGCCACGGGTAACCTTGTGTCACAGGGAAAATTGGAATTTCAAAGAAAACTAGGTCTATCCACTATGAAATGGGATTGTAGATTAATCAAAGCCTTTTTACACAAGTTGCTTGACCTTGTTTTATCAACTCGGTCATATTGGTAGAAGGACTTAGAGGAATGCACCTAGTTCGGAGTCTATTGTATGCATGATCATTTCCAAAGTCGGACCGTGTGTGTGGTACATTCCCAGACGTTTCGCCGGCCTCATAGTCGGCATCGTCAATGAATCTTGCCATTCTCAGCTACATCTCGTCAAAGAGGCAAGTGAAGCCGAACCCTTGACCAAACATGCGCTAAACAGAATATATGAAGACCAAGATGTTGTGGCCTCTGTTATGGTCGCAGTCTCCTTTCGATTTATAGAAGTTGGTTGACTTCGTTATCGCAACTGGGTATTATTGTCAGGGCGACTATGTAGAACGCACCTAGTCCGAAGTCGTCTGCCATAGTAGTTGTCATGATTCCCAGCTCAGGGCGACTATGTAGAACGCACCTAGTCCGAAGTCGTCTGCCATAGTAGTTGTCATGATTCCCAGCATTCCGAGAGTACTTGATACATTCTCAAACGTTTCGCCGGCATCGTAGTCGGCCTCATCAGTCAGTTTTGCCATTCGCCGCACCAAGCTACCAATTTGATACATTCTCAAGCGTTTCGCCGGCATCGTAGTCAGCATCATCAGTGAGTGCTGCCATTCTCCGAAACAAACTATGAACTCGTCAAAGAGACAATTCAAGTCAATCCTTCGACAACCGTTCTGCCGAAAACGGTTACACTATCACTCCTCTTTCTGTCATTTTCTATCTATCTACTCT